TCCCTTAAGGGTTGCTTTGAGGGTTTGTTACAGGGTTGAAGACATTTTTTGTAAGCGATTTAAAAATCTAGTAGTTCCCTTCATAGTCCTCCCTATCTAAACTGTTCACAACCAAAAGCACCCCTGACACTCTGCTCCAATCTACGAAGGTGCCTTTAATGCAGAAAGCATCTAGACAGCTTAACCCCAAAACCCTAAACCCCTACACCCGACAAAAGCCCAAAACCCCTACACCCTAAACCCTTCCCAGATCTGTCGGAAGGATCCCCGGGTTCGCAAGTCTTCTGGCAGGCTAAATGATAGTTTAGGGTTTAGATTTTGGGGCTAAAGTGAATTCCTTGGCTTATGAAACTTTAGGGTGTAGGATTTGGGGCTTCGACGAGGCCTTGGAATAAGTCACACTCTTGATGCATGTAGTGGTCTGAGACTTTTGTTGATAGTTTGTCTTTCTGTTATTCTTCAGAAGGTCTGCATCTGGCTTGTTCAGGAAGCTTACATCAATACCCTGATTTTTGTCTATGTAAATGCCAGCATATAACTGGTAGTCGCTTTGGTAGGAGCGCAGGAGCTAGCCTTTTTGCTAGTCATAGTGTTCATAGTATATTGCCTGTATGACAGGTAGTATATGATGGTAGATGCCAGCATGTACGTAGAAGTGGCACCACTACGGCGACGGCGATAGCGACGAGACGGCGACAGGGACTCCTACCATTCCTTCTTGTTACCGCTACTGTCCTCGCTTAAGTACTTAAGTACTGCGAGTCTCATCGCCAGTGTCAGCGTTGTCATGTAAGGCATTCCATCTTGCTTCATTCTCTTTCCCCCAGCTGTCTGATCGAAACCCAGTTTGTGTTGCAAGTCAGCAGCAGTAGCATCCCGACCTGCTCCCAAGAATCCACAACTTTGCTCCGAGGAAGAAGGTGCGCATCCTGGGGGAGGACTTCAACCTTGCAGCGCCGACCAATCTCTCAACCGTTTAGACTGTAAACGTGAGGGCATCAGCTTATATGTATAGGTGCCTGATGGATTTGCTTTTGCTCTGAACGCGGTTGTGATCGTTTGAAGTGCTCCCCTTCTGAGTTTACAGTAAGACTGCCAAAAGCACCATATACCCCAAGCTTGCAACGCAACACGGAGAACGAAACCCGAAGCCTCAAGCCTTAAATCCAAGGTTCCCCTCTAAACCCTAAGACCCTAAACCCAACAACTCTAAGCCTCACACCCTACTTGAAGGATCATAGGACTTAGTAAGTAGGTTATAATTGGGGTTATAAGTCCCCTAAGTGGGGTTATCCCAATTATAACCTACCTATAACCTTACTTACTAAGTCCCATGAGCCTTTAAGTAAACTTGAAGCCCGGGGCCTGAACTGCATCAAACCCTCAATACGCCGAACCCTGTAAAAGCCTGAATCCCAAACGCAAGAAACCCTCCGAAACCCTAAAAACCTTAAGGCCCTAGGCCCTAAAATCCTAAAAGCCCCAGAAGCCTTACAGTAAGGCCCTAAAGACTAGCCTAAAGACCTAAAGCCCTAACCCTAAAAGCCCTAAAGTCCTGAAAGCCCTGAAGCTTTAAATTCCTAAGCCCAAGCAGGATCCTCAAAGGAACCTTCAAAAGGAAACCCCCAACGAAGCTTTCCTAAAGCCCCATAGGACTTCCGTCCGCAGCTGGAGGAGCACTCCGGTCTTGCAACTGGGCCGTTGTTATGTCATAGGTTTAGGGTTTTGGGTTAAGGGTTAAGGGTTTAGGGTTTTGGGTTATGTCATATCACATGATATGAAGTAGGGTTTATATTACCGTTTTGGTGAGTGTAGCTAGGGCTCCTTTTAGGATTAGGTGAGTGTATATATTGGGTTTTATTAGGGGGATACGAATTAAAAAACAAACATACCCAGTATGCTCTGTTATATCATACGTTGCTTTTATAATATATGATATCACATGGCTCTTATGTTGCATAAGTAATACGGAAAGCAATATGGTATGTCATATAGTATCACAGTGCACAAAATAATACAAAACAACTTGGGTTATATCATATGTTGTTTACATCATACTGTATGATATTACATGAATGACAAAACCCTTGGGATCTAAGGACTCATCTATTAAGGCTTTTGTGCCCAAAGACCATACTATACAACCCTAAACCCTAAACCCTAAACCCTAAACCCCAAACCCCTAAACCCTAAACCCTAAACCCTTAAACCCTTAAACCCTAAACCCTAAACCCTAAACCCTAAACCCCTAAACCCCTAAACCCTAAACCCCTAAACCCTAAACCCTAAACGATCCCTAGGGAAATTTAAAATGGGAGCCCTTTAGGATTCCTGGGTTCTTCTCAAGGACCTGGGGATGATAAAAGTCAGGGACCCAAAAAGCACATAAGCATAAGCATTTTACACCCGGATATCCCTACCTTATTGGGCTTCCTTTTAAGGGGGTTTATATAGGATATCCCTATCCTAATTTTTGCTTATGTGCTTTTTGGGGGCCCTAAAAAGGAAAGCTTGGGTCTTTCTTAGGGGTTCTTAGTGGTTTAGGGTTTGCCTTATGGTTTCTTAGGGGTTCTTTGTGGTTTAGGGTTTACCTTGGGGTTTCTTAGAGGTTCGTTTAGGGTTTACCTTGTTCTTTATGGTTTAGGGTTTACCTAGAGGTTTCTTAGGGCTCTTGATGCTTAGGGTTTACCCAGGGGTTTCTTAGGGTTCTTTATGGTTTAGAGTTTTTCCTGGGGTTTCTTAGGGTTCTTCATGGTTTAGGGTTGACCCTGGGGTTTGTTGGGGTTTTCATGTGGATCTTGTCATGATTTGGGGTTGTAGGACCAAGGTTTCTCAATCAGGTTCGTAGACTAGTCCCTCGCAAGGTTGCTTATGGTAGTTTCCATGCCTAAAACTTGTAACCCATTCCCCGGTTCCCTACTAAGAACCAGGGAGTACTCAAGGAACATGCTTGGAGATGCCACAACAGGCTTCGGTACTAAACGCTATGCTGTAAGTATTCGGGATTCCTTACTGATGTAGTTGCAATAAAGTATAGCGACAAACCCTTCCTTTAAATCTCTTACTAAACCCTAAACCCTACACCTCTAAACCTCTTTAGTCCTATAAATGAAGGCAACCATGTTTTTCGAGCTTGATTTGAACAGTCAGAAGCAGTGCAAGAGCATGACAGGCCCTTATAGAATACCCAGGCAAGCCCTAAAGCCTATCTATATACACCATCCCCACACACCCCTAAACCTTAAACCCCCAAAAACAGGCCTTTCAGACAGCCCTACAATCCTATTAAGGGCCCTTCTAGAAAGCCCATGCACCCTAAACCCTAAACCCTAAACCCTAAACCCACACCCCCTAAACCCAAGTCCCTCCTGAAGGCACCGACAGAAAGCCCAGGCACTCTCCCTCTTGTCCTATACTCCTATAAAGGCCCTTCCAGCAACCTACTTGTAACCCTAAACCCTAAACCCTAAACCCCTAAACCCTAAACCCTAAGCCCAGGCCCTCTCCCTCTTGCCTTCCTTTCTGGGCGGCCGAGCCCCAGCCGACGAAGCGGGGCGTGCTGAGCGTGTCCCTTTTTCCGACGCGGATGCCTAATCTGGGGGCCTTAATAGTTACCAATACCATTTTGGTGGTCCCTATTCTAATTATTAAGGCTCCTATAGTAACCCATTTTTTTTTGTAATTTATGTATAGTAAAATATGCTCCTAACGCCGTGTTGACTTGGAGGGTTGGAGGTGGCCCCCAGAAGTGGCCTCGAAGCCTCCACCCTACATCCAGAAACCCGAAGGGTCCATGTACCAATATGAACAGTTCTCTAAATTAGGGTCCATTTTTGGGTCGTCATTGTAAGAGTGCTGTATGAAATGTATAAGGGATCCCAAAACGGACCCTAATTTAGCATGTAGTATTTACGTTGGCCCTGAAGTAGTTCCTTTATAGGGTACTTGAGGGCCAAAGTATCTAGTAGATGGGTACATGAAGCCTTCGGAAAATGGATTCTTAGCCAGTTTTCAAGCAGAGAAAACATCTGCTTCTGACGACTGTACAGGCTAGTGCCTGGTGCTGAGCGCAAGGTCTTCTCGGCCTTTCCCACAGTCTAACTCTGATCAGGAAATAAATGCCCCAAACTTCCACAGGGTTTAGGGTGTCAGAAAATTTGCCCTCACCGGGTCTTGTTCGGATTTAACGTATACTCATATTGGGTTTTGTGGCTATAGGAGAATTTTGAGTACACGTAGCAAGTAGGACCTGGTCGTTACCGAAGTTTGGGGATACGGGATTAAGGACTTTGACGACCACAGGAAGCTTAGATATTTAGATTGGCAAGGACCTTTCTATCATACACTCACTTATCACTTATCGAGGACAAAGCCCCCCGACCCCCAATATGGAAACCTTTAAAATCACCTCGACTTGCTACATTTAAAGTTGCATATGGATCAACATCAAGAGAGCAGAGAGGCCAAGATTGTTGCTGATGCAGGCTGAGGGGTTTAGGGTTTAGGCTGAACCGTGAAAAATCCGCTATACAGACTGCAACGATAATGGCTAGCTGGTTGGGCGTCAGTTCATTTTTTGTTTTTTCAGTTTCTTAGTATATGGGAGCCGCAAAGTAGGTCCATCCACTTAAGGCTTGAGCCCCACACCCCATCGTAGTTCCTTTTTGGGAGTACCTTACAGGATTCTATATATGAACCCCCAAAAGGAACTACTTTGGGGCCTTTGGGTGAAGCCTGAAGTCGATATCCCCAACACCCGAAGCCCGGCAGACGATCGCTGAGGATCTACGATCTTTAGCCTCAACCCGAGATAGTGAACACTTGCCAAATTTGGGCCAGTTTCGAGGCCAACCTAAGAACCCAAAAGCCCAAAACACTAGACCCTTTCAACCGATGTCGAAATCCACGCCCGAAAATAGATGGATCCAGAGCAGTCAGGACCCTGCTTGGGACACCTATTTCAAGACGCCCGCCCCCGGGCCCCCTGAGCACGTCGTCAGGCCGCCGTACGAATTCCACACGTGCGCGCGTTAACTTCGGACATCAGCTGGGACGCGACTCAGGTAGGCGCAGGGTTTCTGAGATGTTGTGGATAAGGGCCCATGTAAACAACCCAGGGTCCACAACGAAAGGACTTTGTGTTTCCCGGTCAGGGGTGATGCTTCTGCAGGACGGCCCGATGTGTGAAGGGTTCGGGACTTGTCAGTGCACGCTGTCATTTGTCTTTTGTTGCAGTTTGGCGAAAGTTGAAGCCCGGTTTGTGCATATCAAGAACGCAGTATCCAATTTACTCTTTCGCTGCCGAAGCCTCTGGGAGCATGGCACCCAGAGATCCAATACCTCTTAATTAAGGAATAGACCTTAAATCATGATATTAAGGCCTCGAAACCTTAGCGTATATTCCTTAATTAAGGGGTATTGGGTTCTCTGGGCATTGAGGAGAACCTATTGGGATTGGGCTATTTGGCACCGGCCGCTGTGGTGGATGGCCTCAACGTGGTATGCCCAAACGATTCCGAAAAGCCAGAATCCCTCCCTGCATTACGTGCCGGCCAAGAAGAGTAAAAGGTGGCCAGTGCAGCGACAACAGGGTTTAGGGTTTAGGGTTAACAAGTTTGTCTGCTTCAGTGCTGTGTGGCACACCAGTGGACCAGGCGTCTATGATGAGGCTCAAGCTCTTGGACTTGGAACATGAATACCCCTTAATTTAAGGAATATACCTTATACAACTCATGACATAATTTTAATTAGGCTTCTAAAACTTAACGTATATTCCTTGATTAAGGGGATATTGGACGCGGTGGGACCGCTTGCTGTTTGAGAGCGACTTTTCTCTTAGCCGCGCACACGGCGAAGCAAAGGGTGACTCTAAAGACACGGTGGGATCAAAGGGTTTAGGTTCTGAGGGTCGGAATAACTAGTACTGGTAATAGCTTTTTATCCTACAGCCCCAGTGTCATCAGGAGTACATGCCCCAAGTAAAACTTGTTCTAACGCTTCAGGCCTTAGTTGTGCGTAGAGCCCTATGGAGCCACTTCAAAGCACCATCCAATTCTTTGAGGCCACCAACTCCGATTTAGTCGGAAGAAGCAGCAACAGTACTTAAAGGCTCATGGGACTTAGTAAGTAAGGTTATAAGTAGGTTACAATTAGGATAACCCCACTTAGGGGACTTATAACCCCAGTTATAACCTACTTACTAAGTCCCATGATCCTTCAAGTATCCCAACATAGCCCCTAACACAACTATAGCATACCGTACTCCGGAGCCCCATTCTAGCCGTAAGGCTCTCACAGTCCCTGCTAGACCCGCTGGACCCCGAACCCTAAACCCCAAACCGGAAATCCTAAACCTCTTTATCAGTATGAATTTAAACCTTGATGGCTTCGTGGCGCCTAAGGGTTTTTACTTTTGTTCGTGGCGCGAAATCCCGAAAAAACCCTTGTTCGTGGCGCGGGGTTCTCCAAAAAAACCTTGTTCGTGGCGCGACCGCGCCTCCCGCGCCACGAACAAGGGTTTTTCGGGATGTCGCGCCACGAACAAGGTTCCTGAAAAACCCTTGTTCGTGGCGCGAAATCTCGAAAAACCCTTGTTCGTGGCGCGGGTTTCTCCAAAAAGCCCTTGTTCGTGGCGCGACCGCGCCTCCCGCACCACGAACAAGGGTTTTTCGGGATGTCGTGGCCCCGAACAAGGGTTTTTTGGAGATTCCCGCGCCACGATCAAGGGTTTTTTCGGGATGTCGCGCCATGAACAAGAGTTTTCTTTGGGCTTTAGGGTTTATAGGGCCTAGGGTTTGGGCTAAAAGGCTTAGGGCCTAGGGTCAAGGCTTCCAGGCTAGCCTTTGGGCTAACTTGAGAATTTTTGGAATGGCTTTTCGATTTGGGGCAATATAGTGATAGAAGTATGTGAGTCGAAGTTGGCTTAAAAATTGAAAAGTTCTATTTTCTCAATGTTATGGGATTCAGGGGTGGGTGGGAGTTATTTCAAAACTGTAAGTATAACTGTATATACCGTAAAACTTCACGGACCGGAGCTGCTGAACCCTAAACCCTACCCTAAACCCAAAACCCTAAACCCCAAACCCTAAGCCGTAAACCCTTAGACCCCAAATCCTAAAAGCCTTCCAAAACCCCAAAGCCGTTAAGTTTCAACCCAGAGAGGCCTCAAGGCATTTGGTTAGTTGTCAAAAATAAGGTACCTTTTTGGGTACCCTAAATAATAGGTGCCGTATTGTAGTAGGGACCCAAAAAGAGACCAGATTTTCGACAGTCACTCACTTCGTGAACCAGAGAGGCCCAATATCCCTTGAACAAGGAACAGGCTGTATACTATGGGGGCTTGAAAATAATGACCAATACCATCTTGGTGGCTCCTGATTAAAATTACAGTATACTATACCCCAAAAACCGTATTCCAATTGTTAAGGCTCATACAGTGTAGTCCCATTATCGGTCCCTGATTATAGGAACCCTTTAAAGGAGCCCTAAAGCCCTATTATAATTATTAAGGCCCCTTTGAAGTCCGGACTTCGGGCTTCGGGCTTTTACACGGATTCGGGTTTAAGGTTTTAGGGTTTTGGTCACACCAGGGTATAAGGCTTGTATTGCTTATTCAAAACGTATTGAGCTTCATCGACTCTTATCCGACCTGAAAAAACTCATGGAAACCCTAGAAACTTCGTATCAACCCTCGAACGCTGAACCATAAGCCCGGGTGAGCGAGGCCGCGAAGCTGAACGTCGCGGCGGCCGCCCCACACTTGGCTTCTGGATCGACTCTGGTGGTGTCGCAGGACGCTGATATACTACATATTGCACATGAAATCTCATAATTATATGAATACGAAATATATAGTATGTAGTACATGTTTAAAATAATTCTCATATATATATATATATATATATAGAGAGAGAGAGAGTATAGCTTCTGCAGGGCTTTGTCAGTTTTTGGAGAGTGTTGTCGGGCTTGCCTGAATCCTCAACCTAACCTCAACGCAGACATCTCAAAGTCTTATTCCCCATCTTCCAGGAGGATGCCCGGTCTCTACCGAACGAGGCCGCATCCATCGACTTCGTCGTCACCGATGTACCTTGGGTTCATGTATTGTTGTGGTGCTCAGGCTTTAGGGGGCTGAGGTCTTACCGTTTAGGCCTTGAGGGTTCGCGGGTTTTTGATATTTAGAGGTGAAGGTGCCTGCTGTCGGCGACAACGCACATCTAAGGCGAACTAGATATGTAGCACATCTTGCACCTTCGTTTCTGGGATCCTCAGAATCAGGTTTGTGGTTCTGTCATTTGCACGATGAAGCCTCTTGACCTGAAAGCCCCGCACCCTAAAACCTAAATGCTCCAACCTGAGATCCTGGACCTGTACCCTAGATTTCAGATCCGCAGGCTCCAAACCCCTAAACCCTACTTAAAGGCTCATGGGACTTAGTAAGTAAGGTTTTTAGTAGTTTATAATTAGGATAACCCCACTTAGGGGACTTATAACCCCAATTATGACCTACTTACTAAGTCCCATGATCCTTCAAGTAGGCCCTAAACCCTAAACCCAATAGATTCCCTTAAGGAACCCTATAAATCCCTTTAAGGAGCCCCACTTAGGTGCCTTTCGGGAACCGAAACCGACTCGTGTGGGTGAATGGTTTGCTGCCAGCCTTCCTCGCTGAGATGTCACGCGTGCTGCGACCCGGTGGACCGATCGGAGGGTCTCTGTTGTTTGTGGTTCCTTAAAGGGTTTAGGGTTTAGGGTTTAGGGTTTAGGGTTTAGGGAGGGTCTCTGTTTTTGGGGATCTATAAGGGTTCCTTAAAAGGGATCTATAAGGGTTCCTTAAAAGGGATCTATAAGGGTTTAAAGGGATCTATAAGGGTTCCTTAAAAGGGATCTATAAGGGTTCCTTAAAAGGGATCTATAAGGGTTCCTTAAAGGGATCTATAAGGGTTCCTTAAAAGGGATCTATAAGGGTTCCTTAAAAGGGATCTATAAGGGTTCCTTAAAAGGGATCTATAAGGGATCCTTAAAGGGATCTATAAGGGTTCCTTAAAAGGGATCTATAAGGGTTCTATAAAGGGTTTAGGGTTTCCGAAAATTAGGGGCTAGGATGCCCAGGAGTACCCTTATTCCCTTTTTGCAGTCCTAGGTTCCTTATAAAGTTGCCCAATACCTAAAAGAGAGGCCTTTTCATTCTTAGGTTACTGGGTATCCTAGTTGGGGTTTAGGGTCTTTGGAGACAGTACCCTGATTGGGTCCTTCCAGATCTCTTGAGGAAAATTGCCCAGGACCTATTCATGTTTTAATCGTGAACGACTTTATAAACAAACAAAGCCCTAATCTGCAAACACCAAATCCCCAGTCTAAGACTAGGTCGCACCTTGAGACACTTGTTGACTTCCCTCGATGGTCCGTTTTGAGACATTTTGACCCACCCGAACTTACTTGTTGTAGGGTCCCGATAATATATTCCACTGCAAGGCTTGTAAAAAGTAGGTTATGGTAGTCTGAGATATACCCATTCATAAATATTTTTAATGGCCCCCAAACTACAGCCCAGAAGAGGACGGGCTGCGCTGCTCATGACGAGGGGCCACGCGAGGCAAGTGATGCAACTCCTCGGAACAGACGAGACACTGGCCTCGTTTGAGGAGGTGGAGCCGCGTTGTTGATATAGATAACTGACTACCGAGTAATGGCATTGCTGAAGGCCCTCAGGTCCATAGAAGTAGGATGTATACTTCTCATGTTGAATTCTGCATTATTGTGTAAGAGATGTCTGCATAGTCTTGGAAGCGCGCTTTGCCATCGGCTCTTGGGTTGTTATCTATAGATAATTGGTCATCTGCATTACGACGTGCGCACTATTTGGCTATCTGTTTTATGACAATCGTGTAGCGGCTGTTTACCTTCTAATCTAGGATGATGCCCTGCGAGGTGGCGGAGGAGGAGGAGCCGTGTGATGCTTCAGAGACAGAGACAACCGACTCCTTGAAGGAGGCGTTCTTCGAATTTAGCTGCCAGAATCTCCCAGACCCTCACCGCCCTCACCACCTTAACAAGACAGACCAAGCTTGCACGCTAACCCCAAGCCCGGACCGTGAAACCCAAAACCAGCCTTGTCCTTTAGAAATAACAGACCGGCTAGTAGACCTTCTTCAATATTTCCTACTAAGGGATATAGGTATGGGGCTCTGTCTATTGTTTCTAAAAGGACAAGGGTGCCCAAAACGCTAAACCCAAGTCCCTGAATCCCCAAAACATCTAAGCCCTGGAGTCTACACCCAAAAGCTTAGATTCTCCGAGCCTTACACCCTGAGGCATTCCGCCAGCTTGCCTGCCATAAAGTGGGAGTGGCCTGCTGGCACTTTGGGATCGTTAGGGTTTAGGATCTGGGGTTTAGAGTTTAGAGTTTGGATCTTTTTGATCTAGGGTTTATAAGGGTTTAGGGAATTGTTGGTGATTTTTCTCAAGAGGTCGATTAAGCTACGACTGTCAAAGGGTCCAAAGTACCTCTATAATGTATTAGGAGTTACTATTGTGGTTTGGGGAAGTATCCCCCATAAATAAAGGTACCTAGGACCCTTAGGGACTGTCTTATGCATCTAAGCGGCTGATAGTCACATCACCCCTGCGGTCCTGTAGACAACCGGTTTTTGGATGCGCGTGAAACACTGAGTCCCCAATATACCTATAGTAAAACGTACCACGACACCCTCTGCCCCAAAACCTAGAGTAAACCTACACCCCTGAATCCTAAACACCCCAAAACCCAACGCCCCTAAACCCCTAAACCCTAAACCCTAAACCCAAAAACCTGCTCTGAGACTCGGGCCCCCCCCACATCAGGTTGGTGGTTGGCCGGCAGCCGTGCTTGCTTTGGAGCGCCGGCAAACAGAGCCGAAGCGGAAGGTCAGGGGGGTTCCCTTTGGCGTGTTCCTCGAGGGTTCCTTTAAAGAGTTTGCATCAAGGGTTGATTTAACAGGATCCTGTAGCAAGTTTCTATACGAGTCACTAATATAGCCAGAAACCTGAATCTGCAGCACACCATACTATCTTGAACAGTTTATCGTTCGGTGTTTTTTGGAGTTACCCACCTACACCCTTCTTAAGGCAGCAGCCTCGCAACCTTATACACACACAGATATGTATGTATATATATATATACACATACATATATATAAATACATGTGTGTGTGTGTGGACATAGTATACGCACATACACATCCTAGATACAGCCCTTCAGATGGCTCCCGACGCCCCAAACTCTTGAACCCTAAGCTCCAAGGCCCGACATCCTCAGCCCTGCATGCTAAGCCTTAACTCCAATTCCCTGAACTTAACGCCCTAAGCCCCGAGCCCTAAACCCTAAACCCGAAAAGCCCTGTAAACCCTGAAAGCCTTAAACACCCTATAAACCCTAAACCGCAATTTCAGGGCCCTAAACCCCGAGCCCTAAACCCTGACTAGCAGGTGGCCGAAGCCGAAGTTCGGCCCAGCAAAGGCCAGGCGAAAGGCTCCGGGAAGGCTGCCACTGGGCTTTGGAGTACCATACTTTGATACTTTTTCGGGACCTGTTACTGAAAGGGAACCATTATGAAGTAAAAGTCTATCCCTAAACCCTAAACCCCAAACCCTAAACCCCTGGGTTACTTCAAAGCCCAGGCCAAGAAGGCGGCCTTAGGTGAGCCATGCGAATCTCGGTCTGCTCGTCTCCGTTTTCTCGGTGAATGGTTTTAGGGGATTTACGGGTCAGGGTAACACGGGACCTTAAAAGCTCTCCAACAAGAAGCGCTAAGAGAAAGCCGTTCAAAACTTTCCTTCGAAACTTTCGGTTAAACGCCCGGAATATCTAATTTCTGCAAACCTTAGACAAAAGCCCGGACCTCTGAAAAAATGCTCAGGAGTGCCTTCTCATCGAGAGGCCCATTTCATGTCCGAGTCGACGGCTGGTCGACTTGTTGATGCTCGGTCGGTACTTAGATGTTCATGGTACTTAGTAGCTATTATACTGGGGTTCCTTAAAGGGCTCCTAAAAGGGATCTATAGCGGATCTACAGGGTTTAGGGTTTAGGGTCTACTTAGAGGTTCATGGCACTTAGTAACTAGGGTTATACAAAAGGTAACTATACTTCTAATTGGTCATCTCCCCAGTTAAGGTACTTCTAACTGTACTTATGAACCTCCAAGTAGGGTCCTTCTATTGGTCCCCACAGTAGTAAGTACGGGACCATTAAACCAGGACACCCTAAATGGGACTCTCTTTTCAAGAACTGCCCAGGTAATAGTCCTATATGCCAATACCTCAATCTTGATTTTGGGTTTTCGGGTGTAGGATTGTGTTGGATGGGATCTCCCTATTCGGGTTTACGGGTAGTTTACGGTTTACTAGAGTTCAGGGTTTGCAGGGGGTAGGCTGTAAAGGATCTTTAGGAGGGGCCTTGTGGACACTTTTTCTCTTTTCTGGTCTCAGGTTACTTCTAAATCAAATTCCAAAAATGCGAACCTTCCCATTCCTAGGCTATCCTAGGCTACTGGTGGTCTTGGTAGTATGATGCGTAACACTCTGCACAGTCCTCCCAAGCGCCATGTTCGAAGGGTTCCTGGCCAACTTAGGATGCAGCGCTGGCCATCCCACTTCCCCACGGAGTCTGTTGGGCGAAGGGTGATGGGACGTGGCCGAGTATGGGCAGCTTGAATGCCGAAACCCTTCCCCTAAACCCTAAAACCCGAAACTCCAAACTCCAAGCTATAAGCCCCAAACCTTAAAACTTAGATCCCTAATGCCCAACCCTTAAACCTTTCGGGCTCTTATAGTTTAGTAGGAATCGGAAAGTTTAACCTGTTATTTCTGTGGTTTATTGGGGGAGTTAAGTTCAACCCCACACCCTACTTCCGAAGCCATACAGACCTGAGCTCCGCCCGTAAACCCTCACCATGTAGAAGTAATGTAGGGGCCTTAGTACTTACCCCTAGTAGGGTTCCTTTCAATGGGTTACTATAAGCGCTACTAGAACTATAAGGATTTAGTATAGGGGCCGTACGACTTACCTATACTATTTGTTTTGGGGGGGGTCTGTATTATGATCATGAGATAATATCCCCCACAACCCTATTCTAATTACTAAGGCCCCTATAGTAAAGCCCCAAACACCCCGAAAGCATGTAAGTAAAAGCCCTGGTTTATCTGTAGTTCCGGGGGTTCTCAGATGCAGCTCCGTTTTTTGGCTTTTGGGGTAAGGGTTGAATTTTGCACCGGTGTATTGCGATCCACCAATTTTGAGTCATATATATATATATATATGTATAGATATCCAACTAAAGGTGCTAAAAGGATCATGCGTTGGACAAGCTGCAGGCAAGAGTGTAGTTCATTCCGCAATGTCAGTCTCGTCTGTTCTGGTCTAGAGACGGGCTTCGTCTAAGCACCAAATCCTGCTCCCGAAAACCACAGTAAGGCATTATCGAACCCGAAAACGAGACGACTGCTGCGAACATTAAAACAATGTAGTCGTAATGCTATAGTTGTGCTGTTTGCACAAGTGTTCATCATAACAATGACAGCACTAAATACCTCCTTAAGTAAAGCCGCTGGAGTGTTTTCACAGCCTGAGGAATGTGATGAGACCCTACACACCTTCAGCGGGTTATGTGAGTCATAGAAAAACCCTTCAACAACCTTTTATGACCTCCAACGGCCTGTGAGAAGCCTCTTAAGAATCCTTCAACCCTACGCTCTAAACCCCGAACCCCGCAACCCCAAAATCCTGAAACCAGCCCGAAACCCTCAAAACCCGAAACCCTATTGTCACCCTTATAATAACCGCTATATCTGCCCTTTATGGTACCCCTTATAGGAATCCTCGAAGGAACGTTTTTGACTCTAAACCTCAAAGCCTGAGACTTAAGCGACCTTCACGGAACCTGTAGAACCTACGATCACCAGCTTATAGTACGTAACACTGACAGACCCCTTTAAGGGGCCCTAAATCCTGAAACACCCTTATAGTCACCAGCAGGTCACTGTTGTCACTCCCTCTTTTTGCAACCTATAGACCCTAATTAAAGTCACCAGCATAAACTTTAAAATCACCACCCGGTATAGATCCCTTATAGGAGCCCTTATAGACCCCGTTAAAGGGAATAGAGACCCCCTAAGCCCTCAAAAGTCACCAGCAGGTTCCTGCATTACTACGGTTGATGAAGCACTCCTGCATTACCCATAATAAGGAACATACACTAATAACACCCTAAACCCTAAACCCTCAAGCCCTGAGATCCCCAACCCTTATAGTCACCAGCAGGTCGAGGATGCGACAGAGGCTGCCGAGGCCCTACGGCAAGCCTGGTGGAGCGAACCGGTGACGATGAAGAGCGCCCCTCGACTCGATTTGTTCGTGGTTTTGGAGGGCTTCAGGGTTTAGGGTTTGTGGTTGGCGGTTTTTGGGGGGCTTTAGGGTTTAGGGTTTCTCGACTTGTTCGTAGGGAGCGCTTAATTGGGGTTCCAGGTTTCAGTAGATTTCAAGGATTGTCAAGGGTTTGTGCAGGCTTTTAGGAGTTTCTGTTTCAGAGGTTTTCGGGCGATTGAGTGTTTTGAAGGGTTTGATGTTTCTCAGGCTTTCGGTACATTGCTTGTGGATTTGGATAGTGGGTTTGGTTTTTCCTGGTGCTGGATCGGAGGGCTTTGTCGGTTTATGGGGTGTAGAGTTAAGGGCAGCTTCTTCAGGACTTTTCGGAACTGTCCACTAGCCAATTAGCCAATCTTCAGGGCTTTCATCTTTTGAGCTCGGCTTGCGTTGGAAGAGTATTTTCCGGCAAGTGAAACCCTTGATTTGCCCGTGTTGGTGTTAGGCTTTAGAGCTTTCTGGCTGTTGTGGGCTATGCCTATAGTTGTGTTGTTTCTGTTTTGCCTAGGTCTATTGCCAAGAGGGCTTTTGGCTCAGAAGTTTGGTATTGACGGCCGTTGGGCGCAGCCCGGGGAACTAGGTTTGTGTGGGAGCCGCTTTGTGTTCTTGTCGGGCGAGGGGGTGCAATGGGGGCGTTTGGGTACCCAGCCATTTTGCTGAAGCAATCTATAGATATAGAAACCGATATCGGATGTTCCGAACACTTGGGATCCCCACTACCGGCACGAGGTAGTCGAATCAAGAGTATACAGGGACCCGTGAGAAGTTGAATCTTGACGCCGCCCACATGGCCCACCCAAAGGCTTAAACCTTGGGGTTTAGGGGTTTAGGGCTTATACCCTTAAACCTTAGGGTTTAAGGGGTTTAGGGGTTCAGGGTTTAGGGCTTATAAGCCCTTTAAACCCCAAAACCCGAAAGCCCCGATATCTGCCCCTACACTCAGGTCGTCTTCTTTCCGGACTACCCACGGCGATCGCCCTATGCTGGCCAACTCACCGCGCTGTACCAAGAGTCTCAGCTGTTGTGATCTAAGCCCTAAACCCCATAAGTTCCTAAGCCCAAAACCCTAAACCCCAATCAGAAGTTCCAATGCTTAAAACCCTAAACCCTAAACCCTAAACCCCAATACATAGTTCCTAAACCCTCGAGGTTTCGGGTGGTTGGGGATCGGGAGTTGCAGCGTTTAGGGTTACTTGCTTGGGGATTAACTCGGGGTTTAAGGGTTTGGGGTTTATCCAAGGGTAAAAGGAGGGGCCCTTAATAAGGACCCCCAGGTAATATATCCTTAATATAGCCATCATATACCCATTATATAGCCCATTACAGGGTAGGGCTCCCCATTAAGGGTCCCTCCTTTTCCCGTTTGAGTTTAGGTGAGGCCTTTGCAACAAGCTTCGTCCCCCTAAGCTCTACAGGTAAATAATAGTAGGGAACCTTTAACCTCTTCTGGGTAGTATAGTCCCTATATAATCCTTAACCAAAAAGGTTAACCCTTAGTTCCCCATGATACCCGACAAGTAGGCTTAAGCCCCAGACCATAAAGCTCAAACATAGCATGTCAGCTCCTTGGAGAGCCTGTTTCGATTTTACATGCTCTTGAAGCCGAAAATCCGATTCTAAGCATGAAGGCCCCCTGTACCAAACCGAAAAGACAGCTGAGGGTTTGGCAGTTTAAATTTGCCAGTTTAGGGTTAGGTTTGAGCTTTCACGGGTCTGGAGGGTAGGGACAGGGTCTATACGGGTAGTTCTCTAAATCAGGGTCCCTTTTAGGGTCCTTGATGTAAGAGAGCCGTACTATATTTGGGATCAGAAGCAGGGTCCCCTAAACCCTAAACCCTAAACCCTAAACCCTAAACCCTAAACCCTAAACCCTAAACCCTACCCATCGGGTTGAGCATTGTGTTGAACCCGTGTTTTCGCTGTAGGCTTCTTTGCTGCTCCGAAGCGCAGCTCTAAACCCTGCTATAGGGGACCATAGTAGGGTTCCTTTAAAGGGCTTACTTAAGGTGTTCTACAGCTATAAGGATGTATTATAGGGGCCTTTATACTTACCTATACTATTTCGGGGGGTTCCTGTTATTCTTACAGTATAATGGGCCCAAAAACCCTCATTATTCTAATTATTAAGGCCCCTATATTACACCCTAAACCCTGAACCGGCAGCAAAGGATAACTGTGTCGCGGTCGTCGTCAAAGAGCCCGGGCTGCGAATCTTTGGTGGCATCCGCACCCTCGCGAATCTGCTAGCCGCTTGGCCTCCGCCCCTCATCGCCTCCACGGCGACGTGGCAGGTCATTAGGAAAGTTCGTGTTTTCCTTGCTAATGCAGGGGCCTTCGTAATCAGAACAAGGTGTTAGGGGGCTCCTTAGTAAAATTTTTGTATATCAGGCCTCTGTTGTTCGACATTTTGTGTTTTCCTTAATGGGTTCAAGAGGATCTTATGTGCTAGCATTGCTGAAAGGGTTCAACAGCCAACCCAATACAGAAGCTCGAATAGAATCTCACATGATGCCTTCGCTATGCTCGAAGATACCCCAAAGCCTTGTTTCAATTGTTAAGTCTAGTAGAGTAGGTAACCTTTAACCTTTTGGGGTACTACAACCCCCATGTCATCCCAATGTATTCCGAAAGGATAACTTGTAGTTCCCCAAGGATACTGGACAAGTAGGTAAGGGCCCGATATTAGGCGAAAGATGCGTTGCCTGCGCCGGTGCCCGTGCATTTTCTGGAGGTTCAGCTGATCCGTTGGGAAGCATTGTATGGTTCAAGTTGGGTTTCAGGGTTGAGGGTTTAGGGGATTAGGGTGTAGGGTTTCGATTAGGGCGAAGACTTCAGATACCCTATCTTAGGGTATAGGGCAAAAGAGTCCAGAATCTTTTGTTTTGAAGCTTTGGGGTTTCGGGTATCTAATTTAACATACCTCAAACTTCGGTTATTCCTACCTTAAGCCGGAATAGCCTACCTTTTTAGGGTTCCTTATTATGAGTTCCTTATATAAGTCCTAAAAACGTAGGTTATTCCGGCTGAAGGTAAGGGTAACCTGTGGAGGGGCTGCTTGGAATAATTTGAGGATTTCTTCTTAGTGCAGGGGCTTGTGGGGAGTCGCCGGGATGGTTGGGCAAAATTCAGATCCCGCTAAAGGCTTTGAGAAATATAACTTCGCAGGAAGGTAGCGAGCTGTTATTCAGCTTATGGGTGGCCGCAAACCTTTGTTTACGGCTTCCCTTTTATCAGTTTGCTTAGTAGATCCGTTTAAGGAATCTGCGTACCCCTGCCTCCCTTGAGTGTGGGCCGTGTTTGTAAGGGGTCTTTACTTTTGATGACCTCAGGGCCCGATCTGGGTATCCCGACTTCCTTCAGTGTACTTCAGGTGCCGAAATAATTGTCAATACTATTTTTTAATTTTGTGGGTTCCTTGTTATAAACATAAAGGGAACTCCAGAAAGTTGGAATATGGATTAATGGTAGGATCCCCTATAAGGCCCTATAATTTACCTTAAAGGAGTTACGATAATGATATTCCAACTTTCTGGCTTCTACTGTAGTATGGTATTCCCCAGATCTCCACTCTAATTGTGAAGGCCCCTATATTAAAAGCCCTTTGGGGAGGTCTAGTCTTTGAAGATCGATGCTTTGTGGATCCTGGGTGTGCCCTTGCAATTTTCGTTGAGTTGGTCCTGCATGCGGCTGTTTTTCAGCCCGTAGAGAACGTGTATTCCAGTAGAGCCAGTAGCTCCCATGCAATCCTGAAGCTTCTAAATCCATAAACTCTAAACTTTTGAACAGGGGGGTGTGGACAGGGCAAACGTAGCTTAGCTGCATCAAAGTCGCTTTATCTTAGGTCAGTCATATAATACAATCAAATATGATATAATGTAGCACGATATTCAGGGTCAGATTATTCGTTATCAGTTATATGATGTACTAGACTATGGTACAACACCATATAACCAATGTGCTCCTTCAGGGATTCATTTAGGGGTTCCTGTAAGGGTTCCTTTGGGTGGATGCGGAGAAAATGCTGTGCCAGTTGGAGGAAAGAGGAGGCGGTCCGAGCCCGCAAGCCTACGCGACACAATCCCACTCGCCGCGCCACTACTGTCCAGGCCTTCAGGAATCAAGCACATGGCTAGGTGTGCGCCTGCGCCCGCCAGGCCACCCCATCACGGCATGGCATGTCTCCGTGAAGCCTGTCTGTAATGGCATGCAGACATTGTCTCGTGCTGGTCACGCGGATTCGCGATTGTGCTTCACGAGGCATATGCCGACTCCCAGAGGACTTGCCTGTTCCGTCAGTGGGACACTGTAGGCATGGTGGTTGTTATTGTTACTGTTATTGTTATTAAGTACCATGATTGCTGCTGTTGGTATTGTCGTTGAGGTCATTACTATCCTGATGACTATCAGCATTATGGTTTTTATGACTACTACTATTGATAATGCAGTTTGTACCTGTTTTAGAAGCGCCATTATTCATTATATTGTTACAACGATTATTATGAGTATTCTAGGAACCCTTGTTGCCAGTTCTTAAGTCTCACATTGACATTGTGCTTTCACTCAGGTACCTGCCTTCTACTCTACGGAGCTTCGTGGTATGATTCAGGGTTCATAGGGTTTAGACATGTAGCTCCACAGGGCTTCGTGGTATGATTCAGAACCGTGCCGGCGTTGCGGGAAGCCCGAATCCCTGAACCCTAATCCCTTGCAGACCAAACCCTAAGTTAAGCGACTCACTTCGCCTGAAACCCTGAACCCGCAGCCTAAGCCCCTAAGCCCTAGTAATGAAGAACACTGATCGTGCGATAAAAAAGACTCCGAAGCTAAACTGCTATATAACAATATATTACTGCAATAATATTAATCTCGATAACAATAATATGGTAGCAGAATTCTATCATAACAGCTCCACTTGAATTTGGGTCGGGGAGGCGGAACTCGGCGGGTGCTTCCTCGTGGCCAAGACGGCCGAGGTTGCCCGGCTCCGCCTTTTCTAAAGGGGGCCTGTGGTTCGGCTGATGATATAAATCCTGCATTACCTTAAGGACCCTAGACTATGGGAATGATGATATATTCCATATTATGGGTCATGCAGGATTTTTTTATCATCAACCCATCAACCGTAGTATAGGGGCTTTAAGAGTAGCCTGTAGGGGTTCAGGGTTTACCGTTTAGGCGAGGGCTTAGGGTCTTTGGTTGGTTAACCCAAATCGGTACTGTAGGTCCTAACCATAAACTGGTTGACCAAAACGATGCACTACAATTGATACTACAAGTGATGTAGAGGCTTCGAGGGCTTGATGTTTTATACCGGTTTCTATAAGGAATTAGAGTAGAGCATGGGAAAGGGCCCTAGTCTGTAATCTCCAATACTGTTTTAGGGGTTTCGTCTTGTAATTACTGGGGCAAGGGTTCTGTAACAAGGGCGACTAAAGGAGTTTCAGGGTTTGGTAAAGGGGCCTTGCGAATCAGAAGGGATTTCGGAGTGTATGTAAGACATATGTATATATATATACATATCATATAACATATCAAACATTACATATGTATATATATATATATATATGTATATATATGTATTAGAACAGTAACATATGCACAGTTCGAGCATGATCATAAAACGTACAGTAAGGAACTTCGAGAATTGATTCACTACTTATTCAGACGTTCGTCTTCGTGCACCAGCAATAGGGCTAATCGGCCATTTCGGACTCCGGAGCATGTACCTCCATAGGAGGCCTCGAAAAGATCACAGGGATGTCTTCAGCCACTTATGAGTTAAACGGTTAACACCACAGACGTCATCGGAAGGATCATAGAGACCACCGGAAGCTTAAACTGTCTTGACTAGGGGACTGGGCATCTACAGCCAGCAAGACTTCTCTAGATTCTCCGGGCACCAGGATTCGAGTTACTTGTGGCTACCGAGTATGCAAACAGGCCCGGTAGCCCATGCAGCCACCTGCCCCACCAAAAGAAACGAGATTTGAAGGAACCTTAAACCTAAAAGAACTTCTCAAAGGCCCTCCAAAGCAGACCCACTAAACCCTAAGCCCAAAACCCAGACCCCCACTCCCTACTAGCTGAGTGGATACACTTTACACTTTTTGGGATAATATTATATACCCACTATAAAACTAAAAGTGTACACTTTTTGGGGCTCATGAACTCAGCAACTAAGACTCGCGACTGCTAAGGCAGCTTTTCGGCTGGGTCGCTCGCCGCCGAGGCTCGTTACCCATGAGGGCTTATAGGGCTCTGCGAATCGGAGCCGGGGTGCAGGATTTAGAATTTAGGGGTTCAGGGGTTCAAGGGTTTAGAATTTAGGGTTAGGGGTTCAGGGTCGAAAGATTTAGAACCCAGAGTTTAGGGCTTAGGATTTAGGGTTTAAGGGCTACCCTGGAATGTAACACCTTGCCTGGATGGTCGTAGCCCTGGCCCCAGGGTGGATTCGTGTCGTGGTCCTCATGATAACGGATACCCTCTCAGTTCCCCAGAAGGATCCTGAATTCCAGTTTAGGGTTAAGGGTTTAGGGGGTCCTAAACCTCAAAGAGCCAAACCTACAAAGCTGAGACTCCTTTGAAGCCTTCTTCGGCGCCGTCACCACACTCAATGAAGCCCCAGGCAAACCATCATGGGTCTTCAAGACCCTAAACCCAATTGGCAAGACCGTGTGGCTTAGATAATGGATTATAGCGCGATGCATGAGTCAGGTACTCCTCTCCCATGTAGGGGCCTCTCAGATCCTGCTGATAACATACTCACACACCTCCCGGAGACTTTAAGGCTTACCTTGTCACCCCAAGTCGGCAAAACAGCGGGTCGTGACCCCGCAATGACGTAGTGCAGCCATTAAACCATGGGTTAGTGGATCGCCGGTTAAGTTCATCTAGGATGCCCAGTAGTACCCTTATTCCCTTTTTGTAGTCCTAGGTTCCTTATAAAGTTACCCAATACCAAAAAGAGAGGCCTTTTTATTCTTAGGTTACTGGGTATCCTAGTCATTTATGAGACCTTATTCAACCCTGGGGTATTAGGGGTGTAGGGTCTAGGGGTTTAGGGGGTTAAAATACATCCCTTACATAAAACCCCTGTCAGACCTCTGTAGATCCCTTCACTCAAAACCTGATACAGGCCGTTCTTAGACCCGGTAGACCCCAAACCCTCAAACCCTAAAGTCTTAAGCCCGCTGAAGAAGCCTTTTTAGAACCCTTGGTAGACCCTCAACCCGAAACCCTCAGCCCTAAACCTTCAACCCTGAACCCTCAAACCCCTATAAGCCCTGAAGCCTCAACCACTAGACCCTAAAACCTCTCGTCTGTCAAGGCGTCAGCTGCGGGCGCTGCTATGTGGCGAGGAGCCGCTGCGCCAGCTACAAGGCTTCGGGGCCTGCTTCCCAAAGGCTTCGTGTGAAGTAGGGTTTATATTACCGTTTTGGTGAGTGTAGTTAGGGCTCCTTTTAGGATTAGGTGAGTGTATATATTGGGTTTTATTAGGGGGATACTGATAATAGAAACCATACCCCATGTACCCATATAGTAGGTACTTAGGCCTGAAAGGGGTCCCTGTAGAGGTACTTTAAGGCTTAAGTATCTGCTATATGGGCACATGGAGCCTTAGGGCTTGGGGTTGAGTAATATTTTAGAACCCCAATACCTAACCTTTAAACTTTTAGGGTTCTTATGGTTTCTTCCAGTTTACAGTAGTAGGAATCGGAAAGTTTAACCTTTCATTTCTGTGGCCTATTGGAGTAACAAGATATAGAGCTTTTGATTTTGAAATGGTCTTAATTCCTTTGGAGTGCTTTCAATTAAGAGGCGTTCATGGTGAGTTTCAGAAAGGTCTGATTGATGTGGGGTTTTCGGGTTTGTTCGTTTTACGGCTTTATCGGTGTGGTTTTGGTTTTGTTGTGGGGTTGGATGTTAGCAGGGGTGTTATCAGGCTTTATGAGGGTTCTGCAGCGCTTGGCAAGGTTGCACAGGTTAAGGTTTTGTAGGTCTTGGGGATGTATGGGGCTTAGCAGGTTTGCAAAGGCTAAGGGACTAGACGGGTTCTACGTATCATGGCCTTTCTTGTTCCAACACTGTCTTGTGGGCTCACGTACATGTGAACCCCCAACCCAAAGCCTCTAACTGCGTAAACCCCGAAACCCTAAACCTCTAAATCTCTAGACCCTAAATCCCGAAACGCTAAACCTCTAAATCTCTGGACCCTAAATCCCTAAACGCTAAACCTCTAAATCTCTGGACCCCAAATCCCTAAACCGCCAAACCCTAAACCCAGTACGCAACTATCGACGAAAGTCCTTTGCAGCGTTGCTTTTTGGCTAGTTTGGCGGAAGCTGGATCAAGGCTTCAGCTTAAGGGATCCCTTAAAGGTGCCCGAACCCAAACAAGGGGAACCCTTACAGTAGAAGCCAGAAAGTTGGAACATCGTTATCCTCATTCCCTTAAGGTAGAGTATATAGAGGGAATCCTAGCACGAATCATCCTAAAACCATGTTCCAACTTTCTGGGGTTCACTGTAAAGGGAACCCGTTGAAGGATCCGTTGAATGTTGTTAAAGTTTAAAGGGCCCCGTAAAGAATGATAGTCAGCCCACCTGTGCACCAAAGCGTACCCAGAGAACCCAATATCCCTTAATTAAGGAATATACTTACATTATAGAGGCCTTAATATTATGATTTAAGGTATATTTGATAGTTAAGGGGTATTGGATCTCTGGGTACCCTCTCATATGCCTTAAATACCCACTATTAAGAAACACCAAGGCTCCATTAAAGGGCCATTAAGGGGTTCCTGGTGTCCTGACTTGCGAAGGCCACCCCAGCTGGCGCATCCGTCGCGTCGCTCCAAGCGTCCGCTTCACGAAGCTGACCGAGGCTGACTTGGGGTTTCCGGGTCCTGCTTGGGTTTCTTTAAGGGATCTATAGGGCTCCTTTAAGGGATCTATAGGGTTTAAGGGTTCAGGGTTTAGGGTTTAGGGTTTTAGGGGTTTAGGGCTTTAGGAGTTTAGGGAAGTTTGATGTTGTCACAGTGTTCATAATTCTAACAGGGCTTACCTGCTGCTCTACAAGAGCTGGGGCTCGTGCAATCAGTCGATTTCTTGGGTATTTTAGGTGGGTGAAGCGGAGTTGTGGGGCTGTTCTGCTTGCGAACAGCACCGAACCTCGAAAAGCCACAAACAGCAAGAATTAAGCTCACAACCCCAGCTCTGAACCCCAAACTCACCGAATCAAGTTCAAGCCTAATATATAGGGGCCAAGGGCTACTATAAGGGCGATTGTAAGGATTTGCTATAGGGGCCTTAAGAGTTACCTATGCTACTCTGGGGGTTCCTTATTCTACTTATAGTATAATGTGCAAGCTCCACCCCCGAAGCCGTGCACACACCAGCAGCCCCAGACCCGAAGGAAGCCCAGCAAACACTGAAGTCAAGCCCTCGACTAGAGTAGCACCCTTATATGGACCCCTTACAGACAAAGGCCTTTAAGGATCACTTTAAGTTAAAGGCTTCTTAATCAGGTTCCTACCTTATCCCAAATCCTCGGCATCAAACACACCTGCAAGCCCAAGCTCGACACTCTCAAGGACTTCAATAGCACCCTTAAGTGGTCCTTATCTGCGGGCTCTAGGTACATCCCAAACAAGCCTGCAGCTTCCCCCACAAAGCCAAACACCAACAACCCTGATCCCCGAGACCCGAAACTTACTGCCTCAACTCTCGAACCCTAAACCCACAACTCCAAACAAAACGAGTGATCTCCCTTCCGTTGAGACTCTCACTCCTCCTGTAAAGTCCGTACAGGATGCGATAGAACGAATATGAACCTATGATACATCTACTTCGGAAAGCCCTCTTGACAACACCCTGAACCCTAAACCCTTGGCAACCCGTCCTGCGCCCTTTGTCGTCCCAAGCAACGTCACAACATCTCACAACATCTTCTTGCCCTTCAACTGTCGGGTTCTTAGTAGGGAATGGGGGGGTATGGATTCCTATGATAGTCCTTTTAGGTCCCCTATAGTAATCCCTATAATTAACACATTCCCGATGGAGTAATTATGGAGACTATTTTTGAGGATTAGATAGGGACTACTATAGGGATCCATTGCCCCATTCCCTACTAAGCACCAGACGGAAAAGCCCAAACCCTAAACCCCTAAGCCCCTAAGCCCTAAACCCTATAAACCCTAAACGCTAGCTCTGCCTGCAACGTTGAAACATGTCGCCACGCAAGGCCAGTTGCCCACTGCAGGGCCCGGTCGCCCCGCAACCTGTCAACGGATTTCGTGCTCAGCAAGGGTTTGGCGTTTAGGGTTTTAGGGGTTTAGGGTTTAGGGGTTTAGGGTTTAGGGTTTAGGGTTGTTTGAAATATTTGCAGGTCCATGGGCAGTTTCAGATAGACGTCATATGAGTGATATATCTGTTCGGTTTGTCAACAGGCATGTTCGTATATCCCAATTTGCTACGTCCCATGATCCTTTAAGTAGGGGCTCTGTTTTGGTATATTTAGGTTTTGGAAGGGGTCTTGCGTCGATGTTGATTTGGTTCCTCGCTTCTTGTATAGGGGGTTCCCAACCCTAGCCGGGCTCCAAGGACTCATATGGGAGTTTCCGAAAATAGGGGACCCTTAGTTTGGGGGCCCTTATAATAAGGATCCTATTATTTAGGGTACGTACTATATTAGGGTCCCCTATTTTCGGAAACTCCCATATATTAAGGCTCCATACTATATCGGGCTTTTGGGCCATTTCGATGCCCAGAGTAACCTGTCTAGGGGGTTAGAGGTTGCGTCCGGCTGAAAATTATTTACCTGAGGGTTTGTCAAACTATCTTCGGTTACCCTTTATTTCAGTGGCCCAGAAGCGAAGCAGCGAAGTGGTGTCGTTTATGTTTAGCAGTCCCAGAAATTGAACCCAAATGGGCGGTTATCTAAACTTGGGTCCTTGTCTAAGTCCCCGGAATGTACACTTGAAAGAGGGATATGACCCTCAATAACTGGCACATACATTTACCTTGTGTAAGTTGCTTTGGTTACTCTCGGACTCTAGGTAAGCACCGAGACCTATAGGAAGTAGCAAGATCCAGATCACACTCTATAGGATCTGAGCAGTTAGTCGCTCTGTTCTTGGGATTCAATCCCGACGCAGTCTGGGTTGAATAAGATTGTGTACATACTCTAGTTTGGGGGCTTCAAGCATGCATCCGTCTGCTCTGGCAGCAGACAGCGGATTTGGAAGTTGGTCTCGCTTACTACTGCTGCGAGCGACTCTCCGCTTGGATGGATGGCCTGGAACGCTGCCCGAGATATCTTTCCGAGGCACAAGCAGATATAATGGCTGGAAACGCCCTGCGATTCTGTGAGATCTAGCTCGTCCGGCTGGGCCTCGCGAAGAATGTCTGGCGGTGGCACCTCGTGCCGAAGTTCCACGTGTATATCCACCATCTGGTCCAGGAGGCGCAAGCTTTGCGGCACAATCCGCGGTTCCACCATACTTATCTGGATGAGGATATGATGGGCACGGTCAAGGCATTATGCAAACGTGCATACAGATCGTGGATGGGGCCGACAGTTCTCGGGCGATGGCTCTTGAGGTTGGTTGCTGGTCTGGAAGCCACGGTGAGTGCAGCCGGGAGCAAAAAGATCGATTTGGAATTAATGGGCAAGACGGATTCGGTTTCCACGGAACACCCTAAAACCCTACCCCGGAAGCCTCTAACCTCTGTAAGAAACAACGGACCTGAAAAGATCGCTTTGGGTTTCCAGGGAACACCTCAAAACCCTACTTCGAAAGCCTTTTTAACCTCTGTGCGAAACAATCGACCCGAAGCCATGAACCCATGACATTGAAATCCTGGGCGCAGGTCCTTCAGCCAGGAACAAAGGCCCAGACACGAAAGGCCACCACTATCTAGCACAAAGGAGCCTCAGGGAAAAGGGACCCTAGTTTTGACAACGTCCCATATATCCCAAGACTCCTGGGAGAATCTTGGATCATGGATTTGGGCCCGGATTTCAATACCATCTGTCGTGTACCAAGGCTTTAATTCAAGCCAGGCCAAACTCCCAGCAAACTCCAAAACCACGTTTGACAATCCGAAATGAATTGTGGGCTCGACATTTTTCATACGAAATACGTTTCCTGTGGCGACGGCAGCAAGCGCTGCAAGTCAGTACTACCGAGGCCTTGGAACCCTTGATACGTTTCTTAGGGGCTGAATAGCAGCCCAAAAAAGTTAACATTTTCAGTATATGGTAGGGTTATACAAACCTCAAAAGGTTAAAAGTTACCTACCCAGCTACTATGGTTGATGATATACGTGCTGCATTACCCAGAATCAGGAATCTACGATTCTAGGGTCATTAAAATAATGCAGGATTCATATCATCAACTGTCATCAACCGTAGTACTAAGGCTTGAGTATGGAACCTTGAGCCTGAAGGTTTACACCCTATACCCTAAACCTACTTGCCTGGTATCATGGGGAACGACAGGTTAATCCTTTTTGGCCATAATAGGGATTATATAGGGACTATACTACCCAAAAAGGTTAAAGGTTACCTACTCTAGTATTGGGTAAATCTCAACGTGAATTACCAAGTCCGTGATTTTGTAAACACTAAACCCTAAATTCTAAACCCTAAACCGGCCCTGTGCCCACAACCCGAGGCCCCCCTGATCCCTAAACCCTGTAGACTCTGCAGATTCTAAACCCTAACCCGAAGGCTCAAAATGGCCCAAAAACCTTATATGGTATGGTCTTTGGGCCCAAAAGCCTTATAATATGAGTCCTTACAGCCTTACGGTAAAGGCGGGGCCCCTTCATCCCCGAACCCTTGCAGCCCTAAACCTTAGAATATGTAGCGCAATGGCCTTTTTGCTGGGCTGTGGGCAATTATTGCTTAGTTGTGGAGGTTTAGGTAAACCCTTAAGCCCAATGCCACCCTAGAAAATGCAGCCCTAAACCCTAAACTGCATGAAATCCTTAAAGTACCCTAGAGTATCCTTTGAAGGAACCCTAAACCCAATCCCCCGACGATAGTATTTGCAAAGAATCAGGTTCCGTGAGGAGTGCGCCCGAGAGCGGTTGATCATCCTTGGTGGCTCAGTTGCGATCTTATTGGGGATGTACGGAAGGGGCCTCAATAATTACCAATACTATTTTGGGGTTCCTTATTATAATTGTAGGATAACCGGCCCCAAGACTCTCTTCCAATTATTAAGGCCCCTGTATAAGGAGTTTGGGGCTTCGGGGGGTTAAGATTTTAAGGTTTCGAGGGCTTGGGGTTAAGTTAAGGGTCTGAATAGGGTTGTCGCTGCTTCAATCGAGCTGTGGAACGGTCCTCCATTGCTGTGTTGAGTTTGCATTGAAAGCAGCGGTAAACTACCTATACTAGAGTCATAACTTTTTGGTAGCCAAAGTCAGATCATAGGATCCTAGCCATACAAATGGTGAACCAAAACTAGGAACTACAGCGGAGACTATAGGTAGGCTTTGGGGATCAAGGACTTAGGGGGTTAAGGGTTTGGGTTTGAGGGTTTGGAGTATTCGATGCTAACACAATGTGCAATCGTTTTATTGTTTTGTTGGGGATTGGTATCTTCGGCTTCTTCACTTATTCGGCCGTGTTTTGATTATGTAGTTTTATATCGGGGACAGTATATTTCTGAGGTTGTAAACTTTTGGATCTACACTCTGGGCTTGGGCATGGGTTCAAGGGTTGTCAGGGATGGGTTTGGGGATGATACTGTTAGGCTTTGCCCTGGGCCCCGCACCCTCAACTCAAGACCTTACAACTCAACCCTACAGCCGTAGAACTCTACCCTGAACTGAGATCGCTGCTTGGCTGTTCTTGATTGCCTCGAACCATCCGACGCAAAGAGTGGCAAGACTTCAGGGTTTTATTTATTAGATGGGCCTGCATCATTTTATTAGGGCTTCAGGGCATATTATAGTATAATTATGATAAGGAGCCTTGAGGAATAATTAATAATCGTCATTATTCAGGCTGCACAGACGCTTACGGGACGACTGTAGAATGCAGTCGTGCTGACGTCAGGAGGTGTTGCCTGGCTCAGGGCCAACATCTCACACATCTCAGGGACGATGCTTTCGAGCCTGACCGCATGTGGCAGCATGAGGGTGAAGGGTATATACGGTGTGCTCCTGCTGCGAACGCGTGCTTTGCCAGGCTATATTCTACGCATCTACGCAGTAACAGAAGCTTGAGTCACCCGTTCTCATGTGGGTGAATGTGACTTGTGGGTTGGGTGTCGTTGGGTATCGTGGTTTAGTACGATGTCACCTCAGAATATCATGTGTGTATATATATACATATATATATATATATGCATATATATATATATATATACACAGATATGTGTGTACGTACATACATGAGCGATGGATGTTGTTATTAATTACCCCGAACTCGAATTCAAACTGCTGCCGCATTGAATTGCAATAGAACTAAACCCCCAAACCCCAACAACCTCAACCCGAAAAGCGAGGTCTTGAGCCCCACACCCCTGGACACATAAAGCCTAAAGCCTACGTGCTGAACCCTCCAAGAGAGACAGAAAGAGACGTGCATACATGCACAAGCGTAACATACAGGCCTTCATAATTACTAAAGTGCTTTTTTGAGGGTTCCTTTTTTTAAGTTTAGGTTAGTATAGCCAGAAAAGCCTGTTCTAATGATTAAAGCCCCTACGGTAGAGTTGCCCAAAGGTGACCTTCAGTACGCGGGGGAGGAGGCGCCAAAGATCCGCCGTAGCCAGGCCGGGGGGTGCGGGCTTGCCTAGCCATTGATGTTGGAGGAGCTAAGGAGCCAGTTATGATGATAATCCCTGCCAAATAAGGAGCTAAAGAGCCAAGGGAACCCCAAAACCATTGGTTAGTTGCTTTTGTTGATCGGGAGAGGCGGCTTTAGAGAGGTTGGGAGAGAAGTGGGATTTCAGAATGTCGGCGCTTCATGAGGATTCTGCACGGGTTTCGGGAGGGTTCTAGATTCTGTGAGGCTTGTGCCAGGTTTAGACTGTCTTTGTGCACGGGCTTTCTGTAGGGAATTGTAGGGCTTTCACTGAACCATTGAAAGGAAAAGCGGTTGGAAGTTCAGAGTTCGAGGAATGCAGGTGTGTAGCGTTTAGGGGTCACTCCTTGCGGCCACTGAGTCTCTGGATCCCTCAAGTCGAAAGTGGCACGGCTCCAACGTCAACTTCTTCTGGTGGCAGCCGCTGGAGCCAGAACAAGAAGTCTTAAATCTTAAGAAGTGAATGTGTATAGCTGCCCGAAAAAACAGAGGGGAGTGCGCTTCCGTGCGCAATGATTTTTGGCAGCCGTACCTCAAACTCACACGGCCCTAAACCCTAAGCCGAGTGATTGGGGTTTAGGATGGGGCACGTGAAAGCTTCCGTCATCAGCACCCAGCTACATTATGTCCTCAGCTAGGCTATTCGTGGGGAGGGAACCAGTCTTCTGCACCCTAAATCCCGATGCACCTAGCTAAACATGTGTTGTTGTTGGACGTTAGGACTTAAAAAGAAAGTTCCTGGGGGTTCGTAATAATTAGAAGTATTGTAGGATGTTACACAACCCTAGTCTAATTATCCATGTCCCTGTACCACCGTTAGTCCGCAGCACCTACTTGGAGGTTCATGGGACTTAGTAAGTACAGTTATAAGTACCTTAACTGGGGAGATAAACAATTATAAGTACAGTTACCTTACTTATAACCCTAGTTACTAAGTACTAAGTACCATGAACCTGCAAGTAGGGTCGTCTTGCCATCCCGTTCAGGTCTATCTGTTTGTAGACAGCGCCTCGGCCGCACCCGTGGGTGGGGTGAAGCAAGTGCAGTTGTAATCATAGGGACCCTTAAGGGGGGTAGGGTTGGGGGGTAGGGTGCCGTAATGCCCATAATCAGGACCTAATAAGGCCTATTTAAGGAGTATAGTCCCCTACCCCCCTCCCCCTACCCGGTTAAGGTTCCCTATGATGTAAGTGTCAGTAAGAAGGTGAATGAATGCAAACACACGGACGTACATTCACGCAGGCGTGATGCACAAATATGACAGCTTCATAATCAACGCAATGCACCGTAATGCCGTAGCACAAAATTAAGCAATCAGCAGCCAACAAACAAGAAGCATCGCAGTACTGGGATGTTACTCTCACCAACAGCAAAGATCAATGATAATGTTCGAACTGCTATCGAGAGGAGCAAGCACAATCCAATGCAAGTACCGCCTAAATGTAATGAAACACCGAAAAGAACTGTGTACTCTAAAAGACTAGTATATGCATGGGCTATGAAAGTTTTGGGCACAGCCTAAGCGCCAAGGTGTGTGTGCTGGTTGAGCAATGACAGCCTATCCCCTTGAAAAGTCAGAGCATTTTACACTCTCTCAATCCTTCCCGCCTCGTAAGAGACGTAGCGGGCCACAGTAGAATCAAGTTGTGCCTGATCTTAAGCTTGGTGGTGCTGAGAAAAATGCAACAATTTGTTGCATTCATTAATATCCAGAGCCCCGAATGAGCTAGAATAGTGGAACCCGAACCCCTAATTCGGTACCCTATACCTTTAAATGGAAACTCCTTAAGGGACCCTATACCTTGAAAAGGGAGCCCCTTAAGGGATCTGCTCATCTTTTTTTGTTTTCTACCGCCCAGGAAGTTTGGGTTTCATTTAAAAAACACCAGATCCAAACCTCAGCCCTGCTTTGTAAGTACTTCACACGGTTTGGGGTTTAGTAAGGGTAGTTCATCCATAGCCGATATAGCCCAGAAACAAAGTCGCGGTGTATCGTCCATAGAGCCGCAGCTCATGATACTCTGAGGGTAGTCAGGGCTTCATTGATACCACGGTGCGACAAGACTTCGATGACAATCCCAACGCACCATTCACCGAGGGCACGAAAACCTGCAGCTACAGGAAACACAGTAGATTGCATCATCGTCTTGAATCACAGCAACGAGCCGTACCAGGACTCACTACAAAGATCTACCATGACATTTGGGAGTTTCCGAAAATAGGGGTACCTTATTTTGGGGTCCTTATAATAAGGATCCTACTATTTAGGGTCCTTTTTTAGGGTCCCCATTTTCGGAAACTCCCATTTATGATATGCACGAAAGAGGAACCGAAGCAACTAGAGAGGAGTAGTTCCAAGCTCTCAGGTTGAAAGTTACAGAATGAGAGATGCTAATATGGAAGCCTGAATTTGCCTAATTACCAATATTCCAAAGGGCTCCTTACTACAAACATTGCTATAAAGGAGTCCAAAACCCTGATCTAATCATTAAGGCCGCTACGATACTCTTGTTTCACTTGACATGTTTTTTACTGTTTCAGCCCGTCACCTGCTTCTTGCTCCAAGCTGAGGGTCCGCCCACACGATCCATGAACCGCAGTTTCATGGACTGGCCTGTTACCTCCAGGAAATTCTGGATCTCGTTCGAACCTTTTGTGCCTTCTGCGCTTTCTTCTCTTCTCTTCCTTGCTGGACCTAAGTCAAAAGTCCCAAGAGCCAACGCCATGGGAACCAACAAGTCGGAGTGGCAGCGTGTGCCTTTCAAGGGCGCCAGGGCCTCAGTTTCTCAGTCAGAAACTAGGTCCCGATTTGGTCTACTTCGTACCTTCCCTCGTTGGTGTATTTACGATTTGGTCTACTTCGTATCTTCCCTCGTTGGTGCATTTACTATATACATCAGTATGTCTGTATATATATATATATATATATATATGTCTGTGTATGCAGGTGTACAGGTCTATAGATACATTTCGGTGGCTGTTGAAGTCGAAGCCGAGGAAATTGAGTGTTTTGTTTCTAGGGTCGATATAGGGTTTCATCTATGTATATACAGATTACATATAGAGCATCATGGGCTTTCATAGTTCACTTCAGGTTTTTGTCGGTTGGTGTTGCAAGAAATGACTTCTCATATCGAAGGTTCCGTTCGGATCCTATTGCTGAGGGCTCTCTGGTAGGCAATCCTTGCCTTTTGTTTTGAAATTGCCGCAGTTGGCAATAAGTAGGTTCTGTACGCTTCGCAACTGGGTTCTTTCAGGTTCAGGGTGGATCCTACGAGCACTGAAGCAGTGTTTAGAGTTTAGGGCATAGGGTTTAGCGCTAAGAGTTTAGGTGTTCAGGATTTAGGGCTTTGGGTTTAGGCGGTTGAGGATATGCAGCTCGAAAACACTTGTAACTGTAGAAACAGCAGAAGACACACACGCACACGACTATCAACGCCCCAGCCAAAACGAGCATAACGCCTACCACAGCATAAGCTCTTAACGCTAGAAGCCCCAAAACGAGCATAAGCCGCGTTTGGGGTTTTGGACTCTACCCAAAGGCCCCCAAGTAGTTCCTTGTTGGGGTTCATATGTAGAATTTTATAAGACAATCCCAAAAAGGAACTACTCTGGGGCCTATGGGTAAGCCTACTTGTGGGGTCGGGGGACTTAGTAAGTAGTTAGTAAGTAGACTTATAAGTACCTTAAAAGGGGCCCTAATTGGGGTCATGGTACTTACAAGTCCTCAAACTAACCTTTTACTAAGTCCCCCTAAACCCTAAACCCTATACCCTTACAGAATCCCTATATATAGATCCCGTTTAAAGGGGCCCTTAAGGAACCCCTTATAGCTACTAAGTCTCCCGACCCTGCAAGTAAGGTTATACCTGGGACTCTGGAACCATTAAACTTAGGGTACTTAGAAATGTTTGTAAATAATTTGCTAGCCATTGATGTTGGAGGAGCTAAGGAGCCAGTTATGATGATAATCCCTGCCAAACAAGGAGCTAAAGAGCCAAGGGAACCCCAAAACCATTGGTTAGTTTGGTTAAGTACTGCAAGGATCGGGACTTCTTTCATGCAGACAACTTGGAGCCTCACGCAACGCGGCGCTCCGAGATCTTGAAGAAGCACCCCGCAGCTCAGCGGCACTACTGCTTGGGTTCAGGGTTAAGGGTTTAGGGTTCAGGATTCAGGGTTTAGGGTTCAGGGTTACGGGTTTAGGGTTCAGGGTTTAGGGTTTAGGGTTTATAGGTTTAGGTTTCTGAACACTCTCCCGTCGGATTCTTCATCTTCCTAATATCAGAGCCTATTCGACTTATGAAGTCCGCCATATTTCCATGCAGAGGATGTGTTGTTGGCTTCCTTGCCATTACAATAGTACATGGTCTATAGGTACTGGGTTGTTCAGCTGTACACGCTTCTTGTTTTCTGGTTATAGTGTAACTAACCTAAAGACGTATTCCATTTTCCCAGGGGGTTGCTCAACAGCCTAGGGTACACAGATCCTAAGAGGGTTTAGAGTTTGGGTTTGAGTACGGTTTTACGGTTTGGAGCCTGGTATGCGGAGTGTAATGCCTGAGCATGTCGGTGCTGTGCTCAGCACGAGCTTACTATTGGGGCCGGAATGGTTGGCAAGAGCTCCCGAAGGATATCCTGTTCCTAAGGATATACCCCAAAACCCCTTTGTTAAACAGTCCTACTTGGAGGATCATGTACCTCATCACGGGTTGTAACGTACAGCTACTCATAATTAAATAGAACTACCTTACTTAAAACTCTCTTTGCTGAGCCCTATGATCCTGTAAGTACGATGAGTCAGCCATAACAGGCACCGTTTCATGCAGCCAAGGAGCTCAGAAGCCAGACCCAAACGACCTGAAGCCTCATCAGGTGACAACCCAGAAAGTGCACCCAAAACCTTAGAATCCCTGAACCCTTAACCCCTAGCTCCTACAACCCTAAACCTCAATCACTCTGGTAAACGGGCCTGTCTCATGGTGATAAGGATGTTGCGGCCCTCAATAACGATGGGTTTATGTGATCGGTTTGGAGCGATCGAGCTTGATGGTTTAGGTCGTAATGTAGTATTCAGGGGTCGAGTAGATGTAGAGTGTAGACAACGGACACGACCCTAAAGAAGAAGCAGCCAGTGCACAGAACACGCTCCAGCTAAGGAGATCAAGGCGCTCATGGGCGCCTTGGTACGATGAGGGTTGTAGTTACAGTTGAGGGGTCTTTATTTGGCCTTTGACGAAATTTCGGCATTCATAGGCTCAGGGGTTGAGGGATTAGGAGCTCAGTGGGGAGGGTTAGGGATTTTTAGGATGGAGGGAGTGATGTAGGCTGCAGTGATGGAACGGCTCGGTTTCACGCCGCAGTTCGTGACACGCACCAGCCAGAGACAAGAATCTCTCTAAGACGGCTTCTTCCCAGTAGCACCGGATGGAGTCTTAAGTTTTACGCTGTTGGGGCGGCAGGTTTGGGGGCGAGTGTTCGGGTTTACTCTGTTAGGGTATAGGTTTTGTCCCTCCGGGGTTGAAAAGGTTACGGCACTTACTGGTGCTTGTGGAGCAGCGGGGGAGTGGATCCCTCCAAAAGTCCCTCCCTATACAATCGTTCATAGTACTCCCTGTAATTATTCCCTCCTCCACTCTAACAAAAAGAGCACCAGTAGGGGTAATTAACCAGTTCGTACCCCACCACCCATCCGTCTTGCAGCCATTGACCAGACTTGTCCGTCAGTTTCAGGTTTGGGGTTCACTGGTTGAAGGTTTCTGGATTGGGGGTCTAGGTTTAGGGGATAGGATGCTTCGTATGTTTGTGTGGATGTTCCTTTTGCTCTCCATAGAGGACCTCCCCGGAGTGGAATGCGAACAAATATAGAAGCCTAAATCATGACCGACATTATTCCTTAGGTGTCCTACGCGTACTTTCTCGTTACTACACCTCAAAGGTACATTCTGATGATCAAGGCCCCCGTACTAATCCATAGCATGAGCCCTTATACAGGCGCCCTTTAAGGAGCCGTGTCCTAAGGATTCCAGATTTGAAGCAGACGTAGGACTAGCACACAGGCCGTAATGCGATGTGGTGAAGTACCAAAGTCCCCGAAGCTAAACCTTAAATCCTCTAACCGTAAACTGGGGCATTGGCCCTATTTGGAGGACTTGATAGCGTAAACCCTACACCCCTAAACCCTAAACCCCTACACCCTAAACCCGGCATATCGAGGCCGACAGCCGACACAGGGTGCCAGGTGACTGGGTTAAGGACGAGCCCGTCCAGCAACCCGGAGACTCCAATATCCCTTAATTAAGGAATGTACCTTATCTTATTAGAGATCCTATTGTAATTTAAGGCATATTCCTTAATTAATTAAGGCATATCGGAGTCTCTGGGAAGAGTACGGTGCCGATGAGCTCCGGTGTGCCCAGAGGATTTGCGGAGAATTGCTCTGGCTTAGCCAACGCACGTGGCCGGACATTGGGCACATCGTATCCCTCCTTGCAGCATGCACCACCCGCGATCCAGCTCTACTTGGAGGTTCATGGGACTTAGTAAGTACAGTTATAAGTACCTTAAATTAATTGGAGATATATAACCAATTATAAGTACAGTTACCTAATTTATAACCTTAGCTACTAAGTACCATGAACCTCTAAGTTGTCCCGAAGCTAGGCTTTCGGGTTCTCCAGTACCTTCTCGAGCTTGAGGCAGCATCCACGGAGCCGTGACTGCCATGTTGTACATATTAACCTGTGGCTCCTTCGGGGCACGCCTGCTTTGCTTTCTGGTGCTGGCAGCAGATTCTGGGGCACCCACGCTGGAGTGTTACACGGACGCCAGCTTTGCACCATACGCTGCAAGACCGTACACCGGCATCGCCATCAGGTACTGTGGATGCCTTGTGTTGTGGCGAGCCGCCAAGCAGAGCTCTGTGACGCTTAGCTCTTCAGAGGCCGAGTTGGTTGCGGCCACAGAACGTGTGGTGCTCACTCTGGGTGTTGGAGAGATCTTGCAGCAGGTGACTAGTGTGAGGTTGCCAATCAAATTGCTGATGGACAACGCTGCAGCTCTGCAGCAGCTACAGGGACGCGGTGCAAACCGCACCCGACATCTCCGGATTCGGAGTAGTTTCTTCAAGGAGAAGGTGGATCTCCTTGACGGTGGTGTTGCAGGTTCACCAAGGTGCTGCTAGGACCAAGGTTGAAGTACCTTTGAGACTTGACTGGGATGCATTCAGACAGTTCGAGTGCAAAGGGTCAAGAAGAGGAAAGGTTCCTGACAACTGAGCTGAAGAAAACAAAGAAAAGAAAGTCTGTAACGCCCAATGGGACCCTATAACACCCGCAAGTCTATATACTAGCCGTCTGACACCGACAAGACTTTTGCCTAAACCCTAAACTCCCAACCCCCTGTAGGTTAACCCGAAGCTCAGAAGCATTCTCCCGTTGTAACAGAGTCCCTGGTAGATCAAATAGATTTAAGTTTAAACCCATTCAAGCACCTGTATAGGACCCTATACACCCTAAGCCCTAAACCCTATAGTCCGGAAACTCTCTGTGTGAAAGGAGCCTCTGAGGAGCCGTTCCATAGGATTCTATAGTCAGGAACCAACACAGCACTCGAACACAGATTGTTTCGGGGGCTCCCTGCTTTATTCCTTAACTGAACAGAGGGTATTTGAGATATTCCAACCTTATTGCTTTTGCTGAGGTGCTTGATTTGGGTCCCAATTTTTTCCAAAACCCAAACCCCCTAAACCCTGAAGCTCAACCAAAAACCCTAAAGCACTAAACTCCCCTAAGACCCTAAAGCCCAAAGCTTTAAAGCCCTCTAAACCCCCTAAATCTAAAGACCCCTAAGACCCCTAAAGCCCTAAGCCTAAACTTAATTAAAGCCCTAAACCTCTAAACCCCAAACCCCTAAACCCTAAAACCCTATAGATCCCTTAAAGGAAGCCCTTAAAGGTACCCCTATAGATCCCTTTAAAGGAACCTCTAAACCCCAAACCCTTATATAACCCTTAAGCCCGAAGCTCAGCGGAGGCCCGGAGTGGCGGACGAAGTACATCGTGGCCTTGACCGTGGCGCTGCAGGATCGTAGGGCTTAAGCTCTTACTGTAGGTTTTATAGGGTTGAAGGTTTAGGATATGGGGGTTTCCGAAAATAGGGGACCCTAATATAGTAACCTAAATAGTAGGATCCTTATTATAAGGACCCCAAATATGGTACCCCTAATTTTCGGAAACTCCCATATAGGTTTTGGGTTTTGGGAGGCTATTGAGTGTGTTTCGGGTTTAAGGCTTGGGGCTTCGCGTTTAGGATTTCGGTGTTAGGGTTAAGACACATAGTCTCAGAGTGTTACAGGGTTTCGGGTTCAGGGTCGTGGTAGTAGTAGTAGTAGTAGTAGTAGTGGTAGTAGTAGTAGTAGTAGTAGTAGTAGTAGTAGTAGTAGTAGTAGTAGTAGCAGTAGCAGTAGTAGTAGTAGGAGTAGGAGTAGGAGTAGGAGTAGGAGTAGGAGTAGGAGTAGGAGTAGGAGTTAGTAGTAGTAGTAGTAGTAGTAGTAGTAGTAGTAGTAGTAGTAGTAGTAGTAGTAGTAGTAGTAGTAGTAGTAGTAGTAGTAGTAGTATAGTGGTAGTAGTAGTAGTAGTAGTAGTAGTAGTAGTAGTAGTAGTAGTAGTAGTAGTAGTAGTCTTAACCAAAGTTTCTACTTTACCTAGAGGGGTTTATATACCAGATCGTAAACATAAAACTAGGTACCCTAAACAGGGGATGGGGTATGACCAACGACCCTCAAGGTAGTAACAGAAGCCTGAAGAATTAGTATATAGTACTGTTCTTGCAAGGCTCCTTATTCTTGTTTTGATACAAAGTCTGCAGAACCCCTGTTCTAATTGTTTAAAGGCCCCTTCAATTAGGGCGAGGGCGTGCTTTTCGGGCAGGTGGGGGCGGCGGTCGTGAGGGCTTTTGTGCGTTTGGGGCTTTAGGGTTTGGCGAAGGTTTATGTAGTCTTGTTGTTGTGGGGCTTAGGATTTTAGTGGTGACGGATGGTCTGAGTGCTGGATTGTACAAAACCCGAAGATATACTTGAACATCCCGCTACGAAGTGAAGCAGTAGTGACGCCCTAGTGTTTGTGCGCCGGTCAGCTGCTTTTCGAGACGACCTAGGTCTCAGAATTTAGATGCTTTGTTTGGTTATTGTAGGTGTGAAGTTTGCAGGTGTTATGGTCTTTGAGTCCATGTTCTATGCCAGCTTTTGGCGGTTAGGATTCTGCTTTCTGCGCTTCGGGAGCTCACCCTATCAACAACCACGTGTCCGTCTGCACAAAAGTTTTGTATAACCGCTGCATTCGATACGTATGTCAAGCTTCAATGTTTCTTAAAGTCGTATGGCAGACTATGTAAATGGTCCCTCAATGGTTATAATGGTTCTAATTGCTCTATGGTTTATTATTTATTTGTACAGCAAAAGCCAGATTTTTTCTATATTAGCAGGACCCCTACAATCAGACCAGACACACCCTTGACCTATAGAACCCTCATAAGAGCCCTAAAAACCCGGTTCTACTCGTCACGGCCCCGAAACCTGAAACCTTCAGTTACCATAAGGCAACCAAGCTATTACTTTAGACCCCTAATATTGTGGAGAACGGAAACCCAAAAGGGGCAGCACGCACCCTCGTTTTCCGTCCAAGCAGAAAGTCCAACGACCGTGACAGGTCGAACGTCCGCCCAGGACGGGCTGCGCGCAATTGCGTCGCGGCAACGAGAAGCTACCAACGACACACTGCCGTGCTCACTTGAGCCAAAATTGTTATGAATACGAATTACAGAAGCATGCATAAAGCATACAGCACAACAGCCAGCCCGCAGACTATGTACAGTTACATTCGCCCCTCAGCCGAGAGCACGATAGAGCCGTTAGGGTAAGCGGGCGGCCGGAGGCCGTGGAAACAGACCTACAGACACTACCCTCCTAAACGAACTCACCACGACGCTCACCTTCCGTGCTTTTTCTCGGCACGGTCGGCACGAGGCTCTTGTTTTACATTACAACTGTACACAGCCTGCGCCGCACGGCGGCCACAGGGCTGGTGAGACAAGCAGCTGAAGCTCCGGCGTAACTCCACGCGCTTCGGGAGCACTACCGTGCCTCCCTGGCTACCTCCGTCAAGAACCTGTAGAGCGGATACGCCACCCTGTCGTCCCATCGGGAAGCAGCTAGGTGCTGCACGCAAAACTGAAGGTTGCCACAGGTGGCTAGAAGGGCGGCAGGCAGGCCGCGACTTCTAGTCCACGGTCACTGCGGCTCCGCATTGGGCTGCACGGCGGGCTGCTGGGCATTCGAGTGCTTTGCCCGCCCGCGCTGGTTCCGCTGAGGCGCTTCGAACTCCTCGAGTTTCAGCGCCTTGGACCATTCCGTGCCGAACGAATCCAACCACTTTTGGCTGAATTCGGAGGTCAGCACACTGGCGACAGCGATGCCGACCTCCGCGTTAGCCCGCGAGCTAGCACTAAAATTTAGGCTGCCAATCACGGCGCTAACGCTTGAGTTCGGCCTCGTCACGAGCACCGACTTTGCGTGGTGGATGCCCGCGAGCCCGGCACCGACGCTCACATCCGTTCGGTTTTCGGCTGCATAAGCTGCCTTCACCGATGTGCCTTTGCCGACACGGACCTGAACTCCAGCAGCACAAAGTTCCTTAAGGGACTGCAGCTGGAGCTTCGTCCGACTCGTCTGCGAGTTGTCGGCTAGCACGTGAGCTCGGGCGCCTCGCTCCAGCGAGGACACGAGGGCTCCCACCAAGGGCTTGCTGTCGAAGCTGTAGGCCCGCACGTAGACGTGGTCACCCTGCCCAGCATCGGCCAGCATCATCTGCACCACGCTGTGGTACTCGGGAAGGGTCAGAAACTTGACCCCAGCCCGCTCGAAGCCATCTGGAAGCGGAAAATCCCGGACGCGCCGCGCCTGGCTCGACAAGGGAACTGTCGGAGCCGGAGACACTGCAGAGGCACCCGGACGGGTAGCCCCACTGGCAGGCGTCTTCGGAACAGTCTCCGTCGGGGGCGCCGACACTGTGGCCACCCCTTGGCGGCCTCTGAGCTTGGAAATGCCGTCGAGGCAACCCTCCGACGGGCTGCCGACATTCCGCGCTCTTTCCGAAAGCGCCCTTGCTTTCGAAACCATGCCGGCTAAACACCCCTGTTCCAGGGCGGGCGCGCCGAGAATCGCACGGGCGCGTCTAGTCGCGGCCGGGGCGGCGGGCAGCGTTGGGGCAGCGCTCGCGCCTGTCATGGCCACGAGTTGCCCCGCAGCTTCAACAGCGCGTTCTACGTGACCACAACGTCCCTCGTTCAGGAATGCCCTGCAGTCGCAGCCTGCGCCGTCCGCGCCCGACCCGACTTTCACGAGAACCCTGTGCGCTCCGGCTTTGGTCTTGGACGCGACCTCAAAGACGGCCTCTCGGCCCTCAAGCGACACCAGAACAGCACTCCCAAAAGGGTTGCCGTTCATGGCGTGCATAAGCCGGTTAGTGGCGACACGTCCGGCCCACCACAGCACTACGGCCGCGAACGTCCACAGTAGGACGACGGCCGTCAAGCCAACCACGCGGACGCCCCGAACGAGGATACCAGAGGATTCCTCGATGAGGTCCTCCGCCGCAGTGGCAACTGCAGTGAGGCTCACGTGTGCCACCTCTCTGGCACCGCGCTCAACAGTGAAGAGGGTAGGCGCCAGCGCAGCGGCCACCAAACCCATCTTCCATCCAATGTTGCCCGTTGTGGCGTGGGCTGCGCTATTGCGCGCTCTCCTGGAGAGAGCCCAGCTGGAGACCGCAGCGCCTATCGAGCGCACGGCCCCAAGGAACCCACCACGGTTCGAGGGCCCGGAAGAGATAGCGGGGCGAGAAGAAACGGCAGGGGCCTCGGGCGCCACTCTGTGGCCACCCGGGCCACGCAGTGGGAGCGTGAGGGCGGGCTGCCCAGCACGCTCCCCGAGTCGGGAGGAGTATGCCAGTCCGGCAGCACCTCCGGCCCACCATCCTCGGTTGCCGTAGCGGTTCGAGCTTCCCCTTCCACCACCTTTGCCACCACCCTTGCTGCCAGAGCTGCGGCCCCCACTGGGTGCACCGCGCCCGTAGGAAGGTTGGCTCCACCAGGCTCGGGCAGAGTCTTGAGAGAGCTCTGCCTGCCT